AACAACAACAACAACAACATTTCCTCCTTAACAATACCTAATTTTCCCACATTCATGGTTCTCACATTCCATGTCCCAATCACTAGTGTCTGCTTACAACTATTCCACTTCCTTTGTATTTTCATACTCAGTTGCCCTTTCTGTCATTCTATGTGTGTTCTGTTGTATATAGGGGTTTCAGAGGCCCGCTTTTTTATAGAGAACAGTAACTTAACAAAAGGATAACTCAACTTCAAAATGGGGAAAGCACTTGCATATTGTTTCTCCAAAGAAAATACACAAATGGCCAGTAAGTACATGAAAAGATCCTCAATTCCACATCATTAGTCACTAAAGAAATACAAGTCAAAACCACAAAGAGAAACTTCTTCACACCACTAGGATAGTAATTACACAAATGACAGAAAATATCAAGTGTAACGTGAGGTTGTGGAAATACTAGAATCTTTTTCATTGCATGTGAGAATGTAAAATAGTGTAGCTGCTGTGGTAATTTAGTGGCTCCTCAGAAAGTTAAACAGAAATACTCTACCCAAACCCATGCCCATTGCTATGGAGTAGATTCTGACCGGATGCTACTGGACAGAGCAGAACTGCCCCAGCGGGTTTCCAAGACTGTAATCCATATGAAATCAGTCTGTCACATCTTATTCCCATGGATAAACTGATGGATTTGAACTACCAGCCCTTCAGTTAGTATTCTAGCACTTAAACACCAGTCTTCTTAGAATTACTAGCAATTCCAATCCTAGGAATATATCCACAAGACTTTATAGCAGGGTCTCAAGCAGATGCTCATACCCCAATGTCACTGCAATATTATTCACAATAGCCTTAAGTGGAAACAACTCAAATTTCCAACAACAAAGGAGTAATAAACAATATGTGGTAGACATTTATAGTATAATACTATTCCAGCCATAAAAAAGAAATGAAGTACTGATCCATGATATAACATGGATCAACCTTGAAAGCATAAGTGAAATTAGTCAATCATACATGCCTCCTTCCATAGGAAACATCTAGAATAGGCAAACACAGGAAGACACAGGTTATTGGTTGTTACCCGGGACTTAGAGGGATGGGAATATCAAGGAGGCAAAAATCTTTAATGACAAGTGAGCTTCTGTTTAGAATGGAAAAATTTTTGGAAATGAATACTAGCGATAGTTTTACATCATAATGAAGGTAAATAATGTTATGTAATTGTACACTTAAAATGACAATTTTTTTTCTATTAATATTTTGCCTCAATTAAAAGTCTGAGTATGGCATGGTTTTTTTTGAGGGCTGGGATGTGGTTCAGTGAAGGATCTAGCACCAACTCTCAGTCCTGTCAGGACAAACGTCTGCATGCAGAGCTGGATCATGGAGACCAGAGTCCAGGCCCTCATTCAGCCGAGAGGGAAAGGGAGCACAGATGGGGAGTGTCCTCTCCAAGGCCTCAGAGCTGTAAGCAGCAGAGATGTGGCCACTTAGAAGGCTTCCTGACTCTCAGTCCCAGGCACTTTGCTCTGAACCCTAAATAAAGTAGCTTGGGAGAGGGGTTTCACAGAAGAGGAAGCTGATTAAAGATGGACAGGATTGAGAAGAAGGAAGAATGAATGGACAATGGGACTAAGGCACAGGCTTCTTACCTGGAAAGCATTGCTGGCAAAGCCGAGGCCCAGCTGCCGGCAGACCACCATGGCCTCCACAATGCCCCAGTTCTCTCCACACACTGTCCCCCATACCAGGGACCCATTTCTCTCCACCAGCACCTCCACACGGCCCTCGTAGGGGTTACGGCCCCCATTCAGGCGCAGCTGTGTAAGGAAAGAAAGGCACAGTCACTAAGAGGGGTGGGAAGGAAGATTCTCATCATGTCATTCGCTCTGATTTTCCCCAGCCTCAGGTCAGATAGTCCTGTCTGGGACACATTCAAGAGCATGGCAACAGCCTGCTGTGTGCTGGCAATGGGCTCAAACATTCGGCTCCCAGCATAGGCCATCCCAGGCACTAGAAGGCTAGTCAGTTTGGAAGCCCCTGAGCTCCACACAAGTCTGACCCTGCTGCCCATCACTGAGATCTGCTTTTAGAAACAGCAGCTCCGACAGTCAGGGCCCCATGTGTTAGAACTCCCTAAGACTCCTTCTTGTTCCCAGGCTCTTCTCGCTTCTCCACACCCTCTGCCAGGGTGACTTCATGTCCTGATCTCATCTCCTCCTACAGTTTCCCCACAGTTCTCTCCCACCCAGGGCTCCTTTCTTTTTTTAACCATAAATATTTGGATTTATTTTTTATTTTCAATTCTATTTTGTTGTTCTATGTCCCTATCATTAAACCACTATTAAGTTTTCTTTACTACATATTATTGTATAGTATTTGTGTTTCTCTACTGTTTCATAGCGTTTTCAGAGTCCTGCTATCTAAGAAGTGGATGGCCAATCCAAGAACAAACAGGTATGTCTTGGAGAAAGTGCAGTCAGAGTGTTCCTTGGACGCAAAGATGATAAAGCTTCATCTCACATACTTCAGGCACTTTGCTAGGAGTGGCTGTTCCTTGGAGGGGGACATCATGCTTGAAAAGGTGAAGGGTCAGTGAAAGAGAGGAAGACCGTCAACCAGATGGCCTGACACAGCCACTGCTGCAATGGGCTCTAGTGTGTCAGGAAGTGTGAGGATGGCACAGGATAGGATAGGGTTCAGATCTGCTGTTCATAGGGTCTCTGTGAATCATATTTGACTAGATGGCATCTAATGACGACAACAACAACAACAACAACAACTGTAAAATATAGTTTGGTGGGGTGGGGGTGGGGGAAGGGATAGGGGAATTGTATACTAATGAAGGAATTTTTTTTTCTTTTTCTTTTCGGAGAGGGGAGCAAACTGGTGGGGAGGGGTGGGCAGGGAGAAAAGTGCAGCAGTGAATGAATGGAAATCCAAAAGCTCTGTAAATGTCTATTAAAATTAATTAAAAAAATAAAAAAAAACCCCATAGTTTGGGTTTTGGTTTTTTCTAATTTTATACTGGTTTATTGGTTTGCTTAAAAAGTTCTTATACATTGTATTTCACATTATCCTTCATTCACACTGTGTTTCATACAATTATTCTCATTCATTATATTTTATAAAATGAATCACCATTGAACTATACCCACAATTACCCTGTCTTTCCAGATCCCCACCAAATCCTTCCCATTTCCTTTACCCACGCTTCCACTCAACAAATTGTATGCTTTGCCCCCTGCCCATCCTCTGACTCTGCTCCTCTCCTTCCCCACCTGGATCCTCGTTCCTGTTTTATTAGTTACCTTCCTATTGCTACAATAATGGTCTTATGCAGTATTTGTTCTTATGAGACTGAGTTAGCTCACTCAGCATAATGTTCTCCAGTCTCTCCCAAGTTATGTAGTAACTTTAGAAATTGTTGCTCTTGAGTGCTGTGTAGTATTCCATTGTGTGAATGCATCACAATTTCTCAACCCATTCGTTTGTGTTTGGACATGTTCTTGTGATTGTGAATAATGCTGCAATGAACGTTGTACAAATCTCCACTTGTGTCTCAGTTCTGATTTCCTCGGGATATTCAGTTGGTCCATATGGAATTTCTATGTTCAGCCTTTTGAAGAAATAACAAACTGCCTTCCAGAGTGATTGTACCATTTTACAATCCCACCAACAGAGTAGGAGAGTTCCTATCTCTCGGCATCCTCTTCAACATTTATTGCTTTACTGTCTTGTTAAACTTTGCCTCTGCTGGTTGGGTGAGATGGTATCTCACAGTGGTTTTGATTTGCATCCCTCTTATTACCAGTGATTGTGGGCATTTCTTCCATGTGTCTTTTGTCTGTCTCAATGTCTTCCTCTGTAAGAAGTCTTTCCATGTCTTTTGCCCATTTAGTAACTGGGTTATCAGTCTTTTTCTTGTGGAGGCCCTGTGGAATTCTGTAAACTGTTGTTAAGAGACCCTCTTCTGAGATGGTATTGCCCAGTATTTTTTCCCCAGTCAGTATGTTTTCTTTTTACCTTACTGGAAAAAAGTTTTTGATGTGCACAGGGATTTAATCTTTAGAAGATTCCATTCATCAGTTTTTATCCTCTCCTGGTTGTGTATTTCTGGCTCTATTTGTCATCTCACTTATACCATAGGCTAGGCCTTCTAAGCTTGATCCCACTTTGTCTCACAATATTTATGGTTTTGTGCTTTACCTCTAGGTCTCTGATCCACCTTGAACTGATTTTTGTGTGTAGTGAGAAGTGAGGGTCCTGCTTCAGCTTTCTGCAGGTAGTAGTCCAGTTTTGCCAGCACCATTTGTTAAAGAGGTTGTTTTTTCCCCTCATTTAATAGGTTTAGTTTCCTTGTCAAATATCACTTGACCCTAGATAGATTAAGTTAATTTCTAGGTTCTTGATTCTATTCCATGGGTCTATGTGCCTCTCATTGTACCCGTACATGCTGTCTTGGTTATGAGAGCTGTAGAGCAGGTTTTGAGATCAGGGAGTGCTATGCCTCCCACTTCATCTTGTTTTTTCAGAAGTACGTTGCTTATTCAAAGTCTCTTTCCTCTCCAAATAAACTTGTCGATTGCCTTTTGTACCTTTTTGAAAAATGAATTTGGTGTCTGTATTGCGATTATGTTAAACATGTAGATTGCTTTTGGTTGTTGTTGTTGTTATGTGCAGTCGAGTCGCTTGCGACTCATAGCGACCCTGTGTACAACAGCCCTAAACCCTGCTCTATCCTGTGCCAATTGCACTGTCTCTGACACTCCCATCCCAATTATCCCAGTCACTGAGTCAATCCACCTCATAGAGGGCCTTCCTCTCCTGCGCCGTCCCTCCACCCTCCCAAGCATGATGTCCTCATTTTCACCATATTGTGTCTTCCTATCCATGAACAGGGAACAGTTTTCCATTTATTTAGGTTTTTTATTGTTTCTCCCAGAAGTGTCTTGTAGTTTTCTTTGCAAAGGTTTTTTCTGTGCCTCTAGTAAGGCTGTTATATTTTGGAGGAACATTCTTCTAAGTGGTACAACACTCTTTCGTCAATTTGCTATACTGAGGTAACCTGGGGTTGCTGTGATGCTGAGCCTTGTGCCATCGGGGTGTCAAATGACATAACAGTTACTCATGGTGGACACTGTTTGGTGGAGCTCTCAGTTTAAGACAGGTTTGGAAACAGGAGTGGCATCCACTTCCTAAACAACACGCCTCCGGAAACTATGAATTTTGATAAATGTCAATAGTTGTAGGGGGGCCTTAGGCCTTTTGTTTATAGGGTCACTATGAGCCGTGCTTGACTTGAAGCCAACCAACAACAAGTTTATTCCTAAATATCTCAAATGGTAAAAAGGAACTCTACTAGCCTAGTGCAAGAAGATGCACTGCAATCCCGAAGGCAGGTGGTTCAAATCTACCAGCTACTCCTAGGGAGAAGGATGGGCAATCTCCTCCCTTCCAGTTAACTGCCTCTGAAAAGTTGCTGGAGGGTCAGCTATGGGTCAATTCTGACTCAATGGTACACAACAAAAACAACATTGTAAATGGTATTGCTTTCTTATTTTCCGTTTTCTTTGTTACTGTGGAGGAATCCCACTGACTTTAGTATATTGCTCTTGTATCCTGATACTCTACTCTATTGGTCTACTAGCTCGAACAGTTTTTGGTTGAGTTCCTAGGATTTTCTGTATATACTATCATATCATCTGCATATAGCGACAATTTTACCACTTCTTTGCCAATCTGGATGCCTCTTAATTCCTTCTCTTGCTGTATTGCCCTACCAAGTACTTCTAATACAATATTGAGTAGGAATTGTAATAGTGGGTATCCTTTTCTATTCCTGTTCGCAAGGAGAGTGCTTTTAGTCTTTCTCCATTGAGAACTGGCTCTTGATTTTGTGTATGTACTTTGTGTATGTTGAAGAAATTCCCTTCTATTCATATCTTGCTGAATGTTTTAATCAGGAAGGGCACTGAATTTTGTCAAAGACCTTTTCTGTATCAATTGCTAAGATCATGTGGTTTCAGGAGTTGGTGAACATTTACTGTAAGGGCCAGGCAGTACACATTTTAGGCACTGTAGACCATAAATTCTTGGTCTTGCCTGCTTTGCTGTGATAATATGAAAACAGCCCCAGACTACATTGCCATGACTGGGAGTGGCTGTGTTCCAATAAAGCTTTATGCAATAAGAAAGGACGATTTTGGCCTGGAGACTATTGTTTTCAGACTCCAGGATAGGGCAGGGTTCAGATCCATTATTCAGAGAGTTGCGAAGAGTTGTAGGTGACTTGATGGCACATAACAACAACAACAATCCATTCTATTCTCTTAGCCAGAATCCAGTAGTAAACTAGTTAGTATTCTTTCTCTTCTTGCACTTACCCTATCAGAACCTTTGTCCTATGGATTTCATCTTAGTTAGATCCACAATCAACGTCTTTAGTACCAGCAGTCAGGAGATAAGAAGACATATTGTTTTGGGCAAGTCTGCTGTCAGGGACTTCTCCAAAATACTGAAGAGCAATGAAGTCAGTTTGAAGAGGTTTGTCTGATTTAGGTCATGGTTTTCAGTCATTTGCTATGCATCAGAAAGCTGAACAGTGAATAAAGATGACAGAAGAACTGATCCCTTTGAGTTGCAATGTTAGAGAAGAATACACAGACTGCCAAAATAATGAACAGCTATGTCTTGGAACAGGTGCAGCCGGAGGGATTCTTGGAGGCAAGGATGGAAAAGCTTCATATCTCATATTATGGACATCTTGTTAGGAGCGGGTATTCCCTGGAAAGGGATACTATGTTTGGAAATGTGGAGG